AAAAAGTGAAAAATGATTGAAGAAATTATTTTGTAGACGAACACACACATGCATACACACTTTTTCTACCTCAAGCCATACACAAAATAACATGCCAGATGGGGTACAGACCTAAATGTGAAAAACAAAATTTTTAAGTTATTAGGAGGAGAAAAATATAGGGAAAAATCTTTATGAGATCCAGGTAAGGGGAAATTTCCAACAAGATTCAGAAAGCACTGTGCATAAAGAAAAAGATTAATAAATTTAATATAACAAAATTTAAGAACACTGTATACAATGTTAGCCTTTAATTCGGGTGATACTATCATAGGTAGATGCGTATGTCTAAACTCATCAAAATGTATACATTAAATAAGTGCAATGTTTTGTATATAAATCATATCTTAATAAAACTAAAATAAAAGCAAATATGAATACATAGACAGTGGGGGGAAAAAGAAGATAAGCTGCAGAAACTAAAGGGAAGGACTTTTTAAAATGCATAGACTCAACGAAAAATCCATTCATTCAGTCAACGTACAAATAATGAATATTGACTATATGTCAGGCATTAGGCAACAAGCAGAAAACAAAGCAAAGTCCTTGTCCTCTTGGAGCTTGTAGTCTAATAGGGAAGAGAGAGATAATAGGCAGAAGCAAAATAAGTACATAATTTATTAGCAGAAGAGACTTGAAGAAAAAGAAGGAGCGAGCATGAGATATGTGAAGGAAAAGCATTCCAGACAGAGGGAAAGCAAGTAGGAATATCCTGAGATAGGAACATGGTTGGTGTGTTTGAGGAGTAGCAAGGAGGTTAATAAGGCTAGAATTTAAGGGCACAGGGGAGTGAGGGAAGACTGGACATGGGATCAGAGACATGACCAAGGTCCAGATCATATAAGATATCATTGCTATAAAAGACCATCCACTTTTACTCTAAGATTGAAGGCTATGAGAGAATTTTGAGCAGAAGAATGAATTACATTATTAGAGCCACAATTTATCAAGATAACCCCGGCTACTGGGTTCAGATGAGAATGAGAATGATGGGGCCAAGATAGACACAGAAAGAGGACTTAGAAAACTATTGCAAAAATTCAGATTTTATGGTAGTCTAGATCTACCATCAAATTTATCCAACAGAATTGGATAAAGTTGTGAGAAGGAAAGAGAAGGAAGTCTTCTACTGTGAATAACTGAAAGGTTAAAATTTACTTGAATAACTGGAAGAATAAAATGGGAAACACTCTCAGAGGTGGTAGGTTTGGGGGGATTGAGATCTCTAATAGGCATTCAAATAGATGCCTGGTTGACATTGGCTATATCAGTATGGCATTCACGGGACAGGCATAGGTTGGAAGTTAAAATTTTGAGTTGTCTTCCTATGTACAAACAATATTGAAAACAAAGTTACTAGATGAGGCTGCTAGATAAGTGAAGACAGTAGATCAGAGCCCTTGAGATATGAATTAACTGACAAAGTTTACTAGAAGCAGCTGCCAGTCAAGCAACAGGAGAATCAAGATAGAATTGTGATTTGCATTGAAAATGAATGAGGGGTTTTGGGAAGAGGTGCAAAAGTCATTGTGAAATGCTTCCAATAGGTCAAAAAATGATTGAGTATTAAACATTTAATTTGTCAGTGTGGAAGTTACTGGCTACATTAATGAGAGTCGTTTTGATAGAAGGATAGACATAAAAGAGTGATTGGAGCTGGTTCAAGAGAGAATAAAGGATGAATAGAGACAGTAAGGATAGATGCTTTTGAGGAGTTGTGGGGAAGTAGAATCAAGAGAGATTATTATTTTTTTTAAATGGGTCATTACAATGTGTTTTTATAGTTATAGTAATGATATGATTAAGTGAGAAAACTAATGATGCAGGAGAGCAATGGGGTTATTGTTGAACAATGTCCTTACAAGGGTGAGAGGAAGTTGAATGAAAAAAGTGATGTCTTAACTTTAGAATTACAGGAAAGAAAGCTAAGTATACGAGACCAGGTAATGATAAGTTGGTATATTGTTAGGCTGGAAATATTCTTCTTTGAACAGAAAATTCTTAAGTAGATCAAACCCAAGGAGAAGAAAATGTAGGCCCAACACATCATTTGGCCAGATTACAATATATATATAGCCAATAACAATATAAAAGCTTTTCATTTTTTTTTCAACATTTATTCTATGGACAAAGCCACAGAAGACTTGGCTGTGGATACAGAAGTGAATGAAAATCTTAATAACTTTGAAAATGTGAAATAAAAATATAGGTTAAAATGGTGGTCTAGGGGGCCGGCCCAGTGGCCGAGTGGTTGGGTTCACATGCTCCACTTCCGTGGCCCAGGGGTTTCACCGGTTTGGATCCTGGGTGTGGGCAGAGCATCACTCATCAGGCCATGCAGAGGCAGCATCCCACATAGCACAACCAGAGGCACTTACAACCAGAATATACAACTACGTACTAGGGGCGCTTTGGAGAGAAAAAGAAGAAGGGGGTAAAAAAAAAAGAAGATTGGCAAGAGATGTTAGCTCAGGTGCCAATTTAAAAAAAGAAGAGTGATGGTCTAATTGGAGGTGAGAAAAGAAGGAGAAAATTGTATGAGGCTGTCATCAACTTACATAGAGGAGAATTAAGCTACTGACCAACACTGGCGGAAGAAGAAATGAAGGTTAACTGTTATTTAATGGTTAAAAATTAATCAAGGAAGGAATTGAAAATTGTGATGTCATCAAATATTAGGTAGAATAGGATAGAAGTGAGGCAGTGTAAGTGAACTACATCTCATTTTCATATGAGACAGTCAATGACATAGTTTATATTTATATATCAGAAAACAGAGCAATAAAATAGACATGTTACTGAGTGTTCTAAAGATTACCACCAGAAAATAAACACAGGTAATTTAGGGACCTTGTAGGTAGGATGTGGGATTGAAGATGGGGAGAGTTGTACTGGAGAATATGGTTTTTATTATATGCTTTTCTATGCTACTAGGTTAGTTGCCTTATGTATGCAATAATTTGACAAACCATTTTAAAATTATACTCAGCATTTTTAGTACTATACAGTCATCAAAAAATGAGATAGTTCTTAATATGTCGACTTTTATAAATGTTTGACATATACTGTCAAATTATAAAAAAGCAAATTATTGGGGCCGGCCTGGAGGCATAGTGGTTAAGTTTACACACAGTGGTTAAGTTTGTGTGCTCTACTTCGGTGGTCCAGGGTTTGCAGGTTTGGATCCCGACATAGACCTAGCATCTATCGTCAAGCCACACTGTGGTGTCCACATAAAATAGAGGAAGATTGGCATAGATGTTAGCTCAGAGACAATCTTCTTGAAGCAAAAAGAGAGCGATTGGGAACAGATGTTAGCTCAGGGCCAGTCTTCCTCACATACACCAACACACACACAAAGCAAATTATTGATAATACGTGAAAAAAGTTATAGGTAAATATGTGTTTGTCAGTTATCTGTTGCTGAGTAACAAACCATCCCAAAACTCAGTGGCTTGAAGCAATAAGCATTTACTATTGCTCATAAGTCAACCAGTCAACTGGGCATCTTCTTGTATCTGGGATTATCCATGTGTCTGAGAACATCCACACATTGAGTAGGCGTCTCTACTGACATTTCTGGGATCTCATATATTTGGAAGGCATCTGGCTTTGGAAAGTTTGAAGGTAGTGTAGGATGACCTTGGATGAGACAGCTAGGCTCTCCTCCATATGATGTTTCTTGTCCTCTAGCAATCTAGCCCAGGCTTATACACATGGAGGTTCAGATATTCAAGAGAAAGAAGTGCATGATGCTTCCAAAGACCTGGGCTCAGAACTGCACAATGTCACTCTACAGCATCATGGGGACCAAAATCAAGTCATAAGGCCAGTTACTAGTCAGGGCAAAGGACATGGATACAAGAGGACAATGGTTGGGGCCATCAATAAAATCAATATTGTATTAAGTGTTTTTTAGAAGCACAGGAAAAAATTCACGAAGACGTAAGCTAAACACATAATTGTGTTTACTTTTTAGTGTATTAAAGAAGCTGGGTGATCTTACTCCAATTTATACAATTTTCTATTGTTTAATTTTAGTGGCAAACATCTATCTATTATTTTAAAAAGTTTTTAAGTAAAAGAGCCTTGTGCATTCTACAAAAAAAATAGATACACATGAATCTCATGGATAAACAATACCTAAAATTGACATATAAGCAGATCAGGAAAGAGAGAAGAAAAGAGATTACTTCTCTGGGTTTTTAGAACAGTGATAAGAGTATCACTGTGTCACAGGTCTCAATTTCTCACTTCTCTCCAGCCTCCCAAATTCACACTTCACTTCCAGGTTGAGCAGGCATCAGTCAAGTGAGGCCTCACTGCCATTTAGTGGCTAAGCAGTGGTACAGGGACAAATAATGGTCAATTTGACTTATTAACAGTGTTAAAAATAGACTGGAAAACAGAACACCAAAACTTTTTGTTGTGTGTGTGTATTACATTCTGGTGACTTTGTTATAGCAAAGAGAAAAGACAAGTGTTGCTTCCTGCTTTCCAAAGCAAAGAAACTACACACCACAGAGGAGTAGTCAAATTCTAACCTGGCAAAGAGCAAAAGAATTTGAGAAGCTGCAGTTTCCCATCTAGTTAGTATCAATATACAGGTCCAGTGAGAGCAAAGAGAGAAAGCTGCTTTCATTTTCACTTTTTTTCTGCCCTGGGAGCCTGAGCAGTAGCAATGGCTGGTGAGTGGCTGTGGGTTTTCCTGGGTTTCCTGTTTATGACTATGTTTGGGGGGAGTTACAGCTCAGGAGGAGGGGCTGGGGGACGGGGGAAGGAGCTACTAAGGGGGACACTCAGTAGACACAATGATTTTACTCTGGGTATGTAGAGGATGGGAGCTTGGGGCACAGAAATGAGTATGCTAACAGACAGAGTATTTTAGTGAATATGTTATAGCTTTTTGGACAAAAGGAAAATGTAAAAGATCTGGATTTATGTTCTTCAACGCCTTCCTGCGATTTTAGGCGTTTTTGTGGATTCATACTGACCCAGAATTCTCATCCGTTTTCTAAGTGTTCTTTTGTCAGGGTGAGAGGGCATGCAGCTGAAGAGAGGAACTTGCATTTCCTCCATATTTCTGCTCTCTGTATGACGTCTTATTGATAGCAGCCAACAAACCAGCTACAGTTTGTCCTCTCAATCTGCATACAGAGCCGCCCTGTCAGCCCTGCCTATGGAAACCAAAATATCTTCTTTTACAGGTGTAAGACATTTCAGTTGTAATGCTGTAAATACTGAATATAATGGGCTTTTAAATTATGTATTAATAAAAGTGACAGGAAGTGAAGGGATCATGCGTTATGCAAACACTGAACGGAGTCAGCTATCACTAAGCTCCTTGGTGAAGTTGCTTCACTTCTCTGAACCTCAGTTTCTCCCTCTGTCAACAAGCAGAGAATTGAACAAGATAGGTGTTACTCTAAAGTGTTGTCTTCAGACCAGTAGCTTTGGCATCTCCTGAGAAATTGTTAGAAATGAAATTTCATAGGCTCCACCCTAATCTGTCAAATCAAAATCCCTGGGAATGGGGTGCAGGAAGCTCTGCTTCTCAAGCTTTTCAGGAGATTCTGTTGCATGTTAAAATTTGAGAACCATTGGCCTAGAATCAGATATCTATAGTCCTGACCATATCAAAAATCCCATCATTCTCGCAGGCAGGGGGCCAGAGAAAGAAGATCCGGTCAACCTGATGAAGTCCATTGCCAGGAACATGTTTGAAGGCTTTCTTGATGACTTGGAAAATAATGTGTTAAGTAGGGATGATCTAAGAAAGTTAGGGAAAAGAGTGAACCTCATCGTGAATGGGACTGAAAACCTAGTTGAAGATCTCAGTGAGAAAACAGAAGTGGCAGGCAAAATATTTTTGAAACATCTCTTGAAGCCAAAGAAACAGATGAATTTAAGTGAGTATCTCCAGCCATAAGGCTAGTAACTGTTCTTTATCTGCTATCCTTATGTAGTTTCTGTCTTCTTATTTCTGTTTGCAAGTGGAGAATAAACGATCCACATTTCTAGTAATTTCTTTGTCCATCTATTGTTTTTAATACTGAAAAATGCCTTTACCTACCCTGGTTCCTGTTCCAACATCCCCAATCACTTTACACTGCTGCACATTTTCTTTTTTCTTTAGCAGTTGTCACCTTCAGTCATTCCATAACATTTAAGTGTTCATTATATTATATCTCCCCCTGCTAAAATGTAAGCTCCGTGAGGCATGGATCTTTGAATATACCTCAAACTCATGGAAATAACACCTGACTAGGTGCTGGGTAAATATTTATTAGATGAATAAATGGTGCTGGAAATGTATTAAATTCAATGATAGTCTTTAGCTAATCCATGTTACTCTAGCCATACACTATGGACTCTAGAGCCATTCCTAGATATAGAATGTTCAAGAGAAAAAGCCCACCTTCTTCTGTTTAGCTGTGACTTAGCCAAAGGAATGAATCTCTTGGAACCTAGGTTTCTCCTTGTTAAAGGAAGACATGGACATAGGGAATTTGAATGCTGGTGAAACATAAATGCTTCTTTTTCTCTAGAGCACAGGTTGGCACATTTTTGCTTTGAAGGGCTAGATAGTAAATATTTTAACGTTTTTGGACCATATGGTCTCTGTCACAACAACTAGAATCTGTTGTTGTAGCATGAAATCAGCAACAAATAATAAGTACAAAATGAGTGTGGATTTGTTCCAATAAAACTTTATTTACAAAAACAAGTGTCAGGCTAAGTTTGGCCTACAGGCCATAGTTTTCTGACTTCTACTCTAGAGTGAAACATATGCATGAATACATTCCCAATTATTGGAACATCTCTTTGGGTTTATCTTTTTGCTGAATGACTATCTAACTTTGTACAGAGATGTACTTTTCTTCCTTAGAGTGAAAAATGCTATTGCCTTGATCAAAGAATTTGATTATTCCTTGAATTATATAAACGTGAAGATACTGAACTTTTTTTTGTTTCAATGAAATCCTGCCTTCTCCTTCACTTGGCAGAAGGTTACAGTCCTCTAAAACAAACCTGGAGCTTAGAGAATTAGCTAAATCTTCAGGTTTCATAGGGTAGCCCCAGGTGAACATAGTCATTTCCTTGTGAGTGAAAGGGAAAGAGTTTGAAGTGTGTAGGTTCTAGAAACTTAGTTCTTCTAACAAATCTTTTTTTTCATATTATTTCAGAATCTCTTGCTGATTATGAGGATGATGAATCTGAGGACACTGAGTCACCTTTTTCTTCAACAGGTAACTGCCTCCAAATCTCACCTCATAGGTGAAAACTCTTAGACCTCTAGTGCTGTCAGAAGGTGTTCTGGTAAAGACATAGTAAACCTGTGTTCTCAGCCAATTTCGTCTTTGGAAGTAACATTCAGAGTAGAACACTGATCCTTAACTTTTTATTCACTCCATCTCAGAATCTGAAGATGAAAGTGAAGAAAGTAGCGATGAGGAAAAAGCTGAATCAGCCCAGGGATTGGCTATGTCTCCAACAGGTAACTGTCACCAAACCCAGTGACTCATGGGAAACTTTCTGCATCACTGGGGGTTAGGCAGCTGACAGGGGCCCTACATTATAGTGGAAAGACCACTGAATTGAAGTTTAGGAAATCAGGGTTATTTCTCCCTTCTGCTCTTAACAAAGTCTCTCAAAAATAAAGTTAGCACTTACAGCCCTGATTTTTAATTCTCTTAAGAATCTGCATGTGAAGGTGAAGATGAGGAAACTGAGGAGAATGCAGGATTGTCCCAGGCATCCGTTCCACCTATGACAGGTAATATTATGGACACTTAATGACATTATTTGAGATAAGGAAGATAAAAAAAACGGGCCCTATGGTGTAGTGGAAAGAGAACTGGAGTGAAACCCAAGAAATCTATACATTGAGTTCATCACTGCTACTCACTAACCATGTTCTCTGATATAAATATCCCAACTTTCCTGAGACTTATATTTTTCAGTGGGATTAATAACATCTTTAAAAGAATTCATAAATATCAAAGATATAAGCCACTACTAACTGCACAAAACAGCCTAAGGATGTGGTTAAGAAAAGCACACAAAAAAAAACAACCAGTATGAGCCACACATACTATGTAGTCACCAAAGAAAGCGATGAATTATTGGGCCACATTAAAGAATCATAGCATCTAGAAATGGGGTATTGATAGTGTTGCCTTCCAAGTACCACATTTTCAGAGGTTCTGGATAAACTTACAAGGGAATAAAACTTTGTAACTTTATTCATTGTTACATCCATTGAAATACTATATGTATTGATATATTAATTGAAAAGCTACTGTATGCTATTCTAATTACTGTGTTGATAGCAGCAAGCAAGATAAATAAAGATCTTGCTTTCATGGAGTTTACAGTACAGTGAAGGTAGATATATAATAAACATATAAAAAAATAGTATAATTTCAGTAAATATACAAGAGAAAAGAAGATTAGGCCATAGAAAGAGATGTTGTTGTTAGGGTTGAGGTCGGCACATGAGCCAGGGTCAACAGTTATGAGAACGCTTTTGAGGTGCTATTTCAGCATATATCTGAACAATAGGGAGGGAGCTGCGCCAAACTAAGGCAAAAGCATTCCGTGGAAAGAGGCAGGAAGAGCAAGGAGATGTGTTTGGAATGGCCTTTAGAAGTTTTTAAGCAGAAGAGTGAGAGACTAGCATAGAATCAGAAAGGCTAATTGAAAGTTGTTTAAATGTTTCCATTAAGAGATAATAGCTTTTAGACTGGGGTTGTAGTAATAGAGATGATGACAAGTGGTTAAATTAGGAATCTATTTTGGAGGTAGAGTCAATAGAAACTACAGATGGATTGGGCTAATGAAAGAGACAAAGGAATCAAGAATGATTCTAGGTTTGGGGCTTGGCAACTGGGTGAAGGGTACCAATTGCTGAGACAGAGAAAACTTGTGGTTGAGAGAAAACTCAGGAGAAACAGATTTGTAGGAGTGGACAAGTATCAGGAGTCTTTCTTTGCACGTGTTTAGTTTAAAATGTGTTACACCCAAGGGTGGATGTTGAATAAATAGTTCACAGAGGAATTAGGGGTGGGAATAAATACTGAGATCCCTCAGCATATAGATAGTATTCAAGATGATGGGACTGTAAGAGGCCACCTGGGGAGAGATATTGATAGAGAATAACAGAGAGTCCAATATAGAAGAACCCAACTTTTGGAGGTATGGCAGAAGAGGAAGAGCCAGCAATGAAGACAGACAGATTTAGAAAGAAAGGCCGGAAAATGCAGCATCACAGAAGCCTAGAGAACATTTTTCAAGAAAAATGTGTTCAACCATGTTAAATGCTAAGAAAGCAACAGTCAGCGGTAACCTTGATAACAACTATTCATTTAAGTGATGAAGATAATATCCAGTTTATATTGCATACAAGAAAAAAAATTCAAGTTGAAAACGTGAAAAGAGATAATGCCTCTAAGGAATCGTGCTGAGAAGTGGAGCAGAGAAACAGGACAATAATCGGTGGTGAAACAAGATAAAGGGAAGGTGTTTTTAAAAGAAAAATTGATATTAAGACATGCTACTAGGCTACACAGTGGAGAGAGATGGAGAAATTGACGATGTAGAAGACAGGGCTGAATAAATGCCAGAGTAAAGTCCTTGTGTGTGAGAGGGAATGGAACTCAGAGCATAAGTGGAACTCAGAGCATAAGTAGAACTCAGAGCATTAGAAGGAACAGACGACTTGTTGCCCTAAGGGAAAACAGAGAACCAGGGGACACTTGGTAGCCATTTTCAAATATTTGAAGATAACTATTTATTTACAAGCAGATATAAACTTTTAATCAGTGCCAGATATCATTCTAGATAGAGGCAACACAAAGATTAAAGACATCTCCCCTTTCCTAATTAAGCTTACGATACAGTAAACACAATTAAGATAAAATACAATAATTGTTTACATGGGGTATTTACATAAAATAATAGAAACATAAGGAAAGATGTATTGAAATCATGAAAGAATTCACAGGCTTTAATAGGGACAGAAATTAGATGTTTTTCTCTATGATCCCAATGTGGGAAATAAATAGCAATGCTTCTAAGGTTCATACTTTATGATACTCAGAACTGTTCAAAAATGCTTTAGAATTTTTTAAGTTCCCTGTTAGTGGAGATATTTCAGAGAGTGGTAATAATAAAGCAGGGATATTGTAAGTGGAGTTCATGTTTCTGAATAAGTACATGACTAGGCTAGATGAACATTAGGCTTCCTTCCAAATCTTAGATACTGTGTTCATGTGAATCTAATGTATTGAGTCTGAAAGATTAGTCAATGTCATGACCACTAAAAAAAACAGAAACGTATGATGGGGTCAGTAAGAAGCAGAAAGAAAAAGAGAGAGTAGTCAAGATTTTTGTTTCATTTTAAATATAAAATGATTTTCTTATTATATTAAGCTTTTTGGTGGGATGGGAGTAAACATTTCAGAAGAATCAGGGCCCATCTAAAAGATGTGCATGATTGCAAGGCAGAGGATATTACTGCTTAAGAAGTCATTTTTTTCTCTTTTAGATCCTCAGGAAACCCAAGTTTCCCAACCTAAAGACAAGTTGAAGCCTTGTTCTCATGATCATTTCCGTAAACTGAAGACAACAAAGGCAGAAGAGGTGATATGCTTTGGAACAGGGAGCCATAAGATTGTGCACTCAAACAAGATACTGGAGACTCACTGGGAATTGTAGTTCTTGATATAAATGCCTTAAGATCAGTCCAAAAGACATAGCATGTTATCTAATCATGTTATTAATTAAGTGGCCTTACGTTAGATTTCTTGTCTCTTCCATCCCATCATGGGACACACTAAACTCCTATCCAACACCCAACCAAAGCCAAGTTCCTAGAGTGTACACTCACATCTAGCACGTGTTTTCAGTCGGTGGTCCTGTCTCTTTCCTGAGGAGGACATACTTCCATTCCCAAGCTCTCCAGCCATCCACTCCATAATTGCAAGGACCCGTACGGATGTTGGAGGCAAAAGGAAGGAGGCCTGGGACAACTCATTCTGTGTCTGTTGTCGCAGATGTATCCAGTGATGGAGAAGAAAGGCCGAACACGCCTGGCCCTCATCATCTGCAATAAAAAATTTGACTATCTTTCTGATCGAAATGGTTCTGAAGTTGACCTTGTGGGGATGCAAGACCTGCTTGGAAACCTTGGATACTCAGTGGTTGTAGAAGAGAATCTCACAGCTCTGGTAATGGCCCAGGAGAGTGGGACAGGCTTCCTTCCCTCCTAAACAATTTTGAGCTTCTTCCTTAGCAGCTGTAAGAAACAAAATGCATGTTACAGGAATTATATTTGCTCCAGACTAGGACCCCCTCGATCTCAGCCTCCTCCAGTGCACAGTCTCGTAGCAAAGATTTAGAGCAGCTCTCTATGAACCATTTCACTAACCAAGTTGGGTCTTTTTAAAGTTCTCAGTCTGGGAGGCCTCTGCTATCTTGATAGTCTGGGTGAGACACAAGCTCTTGAAATTGCCTGATATCTACAGAATGAGCTCATGAGACTTTTATAATTTCAATATAATGTGTCTAAATTTAAAGCCACGTATGTAGTAAAATAAAAACTTTGCACACGTATATGTATACCTAAAGAAAAAGCTGTGATTCTGGCTCTGCCAAAAATATCCTGAGTGACATTACACAAACCATTTTAAACTTAACTTTCTGCTGTTCCTCGATGAAGGAATTTGTTAAGTGTTTCTAGTTTTTGTCAATAGAAAGCTCTCTCTCATTGTCCCCGTCTCTGTCTCTGGTCGTTCTCTTTTTAATCAAAACTTACAGAGACTCCAACATGTAAAACAGATAACTGCAAAGCCTTCCTGTTGGAGACTTGACATCTCACTTGCCCCTCATTCTACTCTATCTCCCAGCATCTTCCAAAGTCTAAGGTTCTATTGAAAACCATTGGGCTAGAGGGCATATAAAAACCCTACTAACTTTAACATTCTATACCTCTAATTTTCTGGTTTTGTGTCAGAACATAATTTCTCTTACAATTCCAATCAGTCCAAGTCACCTGATTCCTTAGTGTTGGCTCCTTTTTGTGAACTCCATCTATTTGATTACAAACTATTGGGAGAGTTCCTCGACAGTAATTCTAGAGTCTCTTTCAGGAAATGGAAACAGCGCTAAGGCACTTTGCTGCCCGCCAAGAGCACCGATCCTCAGACAGCACATTCCTGGTGTTTATGTCACATGGCGACCTGGATGGTATCTGTGGGACAAAGCACAATGAAGAAGAGCCAGATATTCTTCACGATGATACCATCTTCCAAATTTTCAACAATCGTAACTGCCGGAGTCTGAGAGACAAACCCAAGATCATCATCATCCAAGCCTGCCGAGGCAGTGAGTCTGAGCTGGGGGAACCCAGGGAGTGGCGTGCACTTTTTTCTATTAGCTTGGTGTCTAGCCTTCATTTTCCCAGGGATGGGTCAGAGAAACAACATTTTAGTACTACTCTTTGGTCCAGTCCAGGAAGAATTATATTGTCTGTACCATTTTTAAAGAAATGAAAAGTCTCCTAGAATAATGAGGAATGTCTTGATCACTAGGGACTAGGTTGTCAACACGGCTATTCTAAACTTAAGTGGACTCTATGCGGTTCCCAATCAGTGAGGTACTTTTTCTAGTTGTGAGATGCTTGACTTTTGATAAATATCATGTTGAAATGTACTGAAGCAAAAGTATAACGTTAAAAGAGATTGTGTGTGTGTGTGTGCGTGTGCGTGTTTGTGTGTGAGAATATATTATCTTTCATAAGACAGGCATGTCTCTCCTAGGAGGTGATGGGAGTGTTTGGGTGACTGACACGGGAGTAGCCTCTGCCTATAGTTCTGACCAGCCCTTCCAGGGTTACATCTGGAATGATGCTGTTACAAAGACCCACGTAGAGAAAGACTTCATTGCCTTCAAATCTTCAACTCCACGTAAGTGTGTTCAGGTACAACAATTTCTAAATCTCCTGTTGGTTTCTAACTCATGGGTTTGGCTAAGATCATATCTTATAACTAATATAATAACATTTCTTCTCTAACTAATGAGATATTTTAGGTGAAGAAGAGATTTAAAATAATGAGATTTTCATAACTAGAAAGCTATAAGTCTTGATTTTGGAGAAACTTTCAAAGTAAACAGGAGTTGGTGAGGATCCAGAGTTAAAATAGCCTATAAATAAATGAAGAGATTTTTGTTTTATTTTGTTTTTTAATATAGCAATGGCACAGAAATGTATCATCTTCTCATAGTTTGGTATCTCCGATAATCTGCTAACAATTAAATGTGCCAACCAGTAAAACAGTAGTACTTGCTCCCCACATCCTAGAACCTCTTGGTCTGTTATTTGAATGTAATCTTAGGAAATTAATTAACATTCAAATGTCTGCCTTCAGGATAATGCAGCCAGTGATGGAAAATCCTTCTGTGGCTGGAAAGCCATAGTAGAAGGTAGAAATAGAAGATATTCTTGATTGTTTATGGTCAAATCTGCAGAAAATCTATTTAACACTCATCCACGGTATTGCTTTATCAATGATGTAGATAACAAGGGCAATTTTAATAACCTAGTTTACACAAGCCACAGTTCTAAGGGCTCTAGCGTAGTAATCGCAAACTTTCATGTGCTTAGAAATCGCCTGAGATTGTCATTAAAATGTAGATTTCTGATTCAGTAGGTCTGGGGCAGAGCCTGAGATTCCACCTTTCTAAAAAGCTCCATGGTGATGCCAGTGCTGTTGGTCTCTGATCACACATGAGTAGCAAGGAACTAGAGGACCTTCTGTGTTTAGCCTGGGGAAATAGGAAAAAGTCCATGCAGGCAACACCCACTCCACAACTGGAATAGTTCTACATCTCTTTGTTTTATATATTGGAGAGTTAATAAGGTTTGATTTGAAAGAAGAGCTCTACAATTTTAGCTACTAAAGAAAGTTAAAAAGGCATATATGGCCTGATACATACGCTAAGAGATTATTTAATTTAGTGGAGAAAATAGAGCCTAATATGTGAAATTCTTGCACTCATTTTTTATACACATAACTGTGCTAGGTGCAGGGCATATGATACACAACTATGGCAGACATGAGTACTGAACCCTTACAGAGTGTCTAGTCAGGCTGGAGAGGCAGAAATTAATCGGGGGGAAAATATATGCACAATATAACAGAAATAATGATTATCACTTGTGATAAGTTATTTAAAGAAAAATTTGTGCTCACATTTTGAAAATGAAGAAGTTAACCACATCAAGGGTAAGGGAGGAACATTCCAGATAGAAAAATTAGTGTACAGAGAGGACCTGAGAAAGAAAGGAGCTTACAGAAGAGGGCCAGTGTGGCTGAGCACAGAGCCAGGGGAGAGTACCAAAAGGGAGTTTGTAGAGGTAGGCAGAGCCACACAACTTGAGGCCTCATATGTTTGGGAAGGATTTGGTCTTTTATAACAACATACTTTATTACTGACATTGCTTTATACTAACAGTACTAGGTAATTTTGGTGAAATTTAAGTAGTGAACTGATGAGATTTTCATTTTTAAATGATCACTCTGGGGGTTATGTGGGGAATGGATTGCAGTACAGCAAGAGTAGATATTAGGGAGATAGGTTAAAATGCTACTTCAGTATTATAAGCCATAGGTGATCATCTTTGGATAAGTTAAGTTGTTGGATCCAAGAAATAATGAGCCTACAAAATTAATATGACCTGTTGGTTTAGTGGATATGGCAGGTGAACAAGAAGAGATGATAGAGGTGATTGAAGTGTACAAGTGGATGACTGTGGTGCATTCATTGAAATGAGAATCCTGCAAAAAAGTTTGAGATGCCTTTGGCATATTTCGAGATGAAATGAAGGGTAGGGAGTTACACAGCTGTATATTTCAGAGGAGAGATCTGCATTAGAATTTTTGGAGATGCTTGCCTAAGGATGATATTTAATATTTTCAAAATTGATGGAATTATCTGAGAAAGAGAATAGAGTGAGAGGAGATCCTCAAGCTGAGGCTGGAAGAACTCTAGAGTACAAGATCAAGGATAGAAATATTAGTCAACAAATTAGACTCAGAGGGTATGATCAGAGACCAGGAAAGAAAAATAGGAGAACGCGTTTGTTGCCAGTTACCAAGAAATAATCTTTTGGAGTTACCAACAGTTTCTGATGTGAATGAGAAATCAGGTAAAGGTGAGGCCTGATGAATGGCCAGGATATTTAATGTCTTGGAGGTCTTGGATGACCTTGGGGAGAACCATTTGGTAAAGTTAGTATGGGATGGAGAAGCCACACAGGAATGAACAGCCTGGGAGGAAATGAGGATAATGAGTAGAAACAAATTTGAGAAATTTAACTATAAAAAGGAAGGAGAAATAGGAAGGTAACTGCAGATAAGCGACAATTAGACGAATATTAGCTTTTCTATGGTAAGAGAGATTTGATCACATTGAATGGTAAAGAGAAGTAGTAATTCAAAATACGTTCACACAATAAAACACTTAAGTGCAAAAAATTATAATAAGAAACAGTATGAATGAAGAGAAGCCCCAGAATTAAGGAATATCAAGAGCTGGATTCTTTTTTTTTCTATTATGTGGTAAATGCTAAAAGGACTCATGTTCATTTCCACTACTTGTAATCCTAGGGGCCATAACTTTGGCCCAGACTACTAAGAAAGTCAAAGGAATTTATGATTGAGGGTTCATGAGGGTTTTCTCTGGGCCTGCTATTGAAATTTGAGGTCCCAGCTTTACCCATATTTAGACTCCCTCTCTCCTATAAAGCACCCAAATAGAACTTTGTCCAAAAGCTATGGCTCCTGGAATCTTCTACACTTATACAAAGGCCACATGTTCCAATATTTTAATACCTTTTATTTGCAGATAATATTTCCTGGAGAACTGACAAAACTGGCTCAATCTTCATTTCCAAACTTATCTACAACTTCAGAAAATATTCTTGTTGTCACCATTTGGAGGAGATTTTTCGAAAGGTAGGGATCTTCTTGTCTTTTCAATTTTATGTTCCGGAAAACTTTGTAGAATCATTTGCAAAACTTTTTTCAGGAATCTGGAGCCCTTAAGTCATCTTGATGCTCCCTCCTGTACTCCACATTTATTTAAAGAGGAAGTTTTTTGAAGTACTACATAGAACCAGCGTGAGTTTCTCCGATTCTGATAGTGTTGCTCATTCAGGGAACGCTTTTGAGGGCACTATTTCATCCATGTATGCACTATATCCAAGGAAAAGCTAAACATTTCTTCTGTTTATACTGCCTGGCCATGGCCTTAAGACACACTATAAATTTTCTCACTCCTGAGAGAAGTCCAGATTTCCCTTTTAGAAAATTTCTAAAAGCTTTCCTTATTACTTTAGGTTCAACGTTCATTTGAGATCCCAAGTGTAGTGATCCAGATGCCCACGATTGAAAGAGTATCCATGACGCGATATTTTTACCTCTTCCCTGGGAATTAAAACTCATACAAAGCATCTCAGGTAAATGTATCCAAGAAATGGATTTGGGTGCATCCAGCTCAGCGTCTATACATAATATTCAGTCTCTATTCTATTTAGAATAGAGAGCAATGATAGAGTTCCACTGCCCAGTAGTCACTGAGGCTCATCTTATCTTCCATTTCTTAATGGCCCTTGGTGAAACCTTGGTTTTGTGTGACTTTGGCCATAATATAATGATTGCATAAGAAATGATAAGTTCAATGATGGCCAGCTTGAAAAGCTCGCAGTCCTCATTTCTCTCGAGGACTTAGTGAGTGGAAAATATTTAGTTTTGCTAAATGCACAAAGCAAAATAATGGGACCTGATATACAGCTCTGTTTGGCTTCTTCCCCAAAAGCCGTTTTGCTGAGTCACATCCCTTCTCTGTAGTGAGGTCTGACTGTACCACAGTGCCACAGTGTCACCTGACTACTCCTGGGTCTGTGCTGAGGCAATAAAGCCCTAGTACAGGTCTTCCCATTTGATGATGACAGGTCCATAGCCCTTTTATGAAAGTATATCTCACAGTAGAGATTAGTTCGATTTATATCTTACCTCCAATAGCCAAATTACTCATATTCTCTTCTCTCTACTTTTTCCAGGAAAATGGGGGCCTTATGACCTCTATGAATCCACTATTTTAAAAGTGAAATTTTTGATCAAAAATATTTTTATACCAAACTTCCCAACTGCCTACCTCTACAAATACCAGGCTAAAGTTACTCTCATACTGTTGCTGAGTTAATGCTTAATAAATTCTTTTAAAATTATGCTTGTTTTGGGGCTGGCCCCTTGGTCGAGTGGTTAAGTTCGCGCGCTCTGCTGCAGGCGGCCCAGTGTTTCGTTGGTTCGAATCCTGGGCGCGGACATGGCACAGCTCATCAAACCACGCTGAGGCGGCGTCCCACATGCCACAACTAGAAGGACCCACAACGAAGAATATACAACTATGTACCGGAGGGGCTTTGGGGAGAAAAAGGAAAAAATAAAAAAAATCTTTAAAAAAAAAAAATTATGCTTGTTTTCTCATTTTATCATTAAGGTAAATGTAGGGAAGGAGGAAATTTTCTCCTACCCTTCTAGGTTCTTCTGGCTGGTCTAAGAATTAAACTGACATGAGACCAAATAAGAGGAGAAAATCAAACAAAGTTTAATAACATGTATACGTGGGAGAAACCCAGGAAAATTGAATAACTTGCCAAAATTGTTGAAGCTACCATCTTAAATACCATCTTCAGCTAAAGAGGATGTGGGGGATAGTGGTTTGGGACTTCAAAGGGGAGGAGGGCAATTCACATAGAGATGTAAAAGCAAATGTTTGGTGAGCAAATATTTCCCATGCTTGCAGAGACAGTGGGACATGGAGAGGACTTTGATCAAAGGGGCCTTGCTGGGTCCCTCCCTGTCTACCACTCCTACTTCATATACTATAGCTATCTAGGGTGATGGTGATAGTTCTTTCCTGGAACAGACTTCTATCTTAAATTCTTTTAGGCCGTTAGGGGGAAGGTCAAAGTTTCTTCCTGAGTCTTTTGTTCCTAAAAATAATCAAGCAAAAGAGACAAATTTTGGGCTAGCAAATTCCGCTCCCTTACGTAAATCATGCTCATTGCAAAACAAATTTTAAATATAGGAAAACAAAAAAACTGTTAATGAAGAGTAATACTTCTTAACCTTTTTGTAAATAATCGTAATAAACTCAACTTATTTTTATGAAGTTCATTAATTTTGTATACTCAATTTTGTATCTGTTTTATTATTTTTTCATAACCATCACTAATAGTAATAAAAGATGTCCCATATATGATTTTTTATTTTATAATATTCATCAGATGTATATACAACATATTATTCAAACTTCTACCTTACTTTTCAATATTTATTTCCTACATGCTGTGTGATGATGAAGATGTTTATGTTTTTGCTTTTGTTTCAGTTTATTTTCTTAGAATGTATTCCTAAAAGTGGAATTTCTAGATGCAAGTATAAATACTTTTACACTTTCTATTGTCAAACTTTTATGCCAAATTGTATGTATACAAGAAATCTAAGATAATGACTGACAGAGAAGTGAAGATAAATGTCTATTTTTAATACTGTTGCTAATAAATGAAAAACAGTTATTCTCCTTAGCACATTTTTTGTTTTTATTAATTGTTTTATCTTTATTAGCTAGACTTTTACATAACTTATTAATTTATATCATTTTTCTGTTTTGTTTCAAGTTTTGTATTTTTATTATCTTATGTAAATGCTTTCTGTGTAATGACATATTAGTTCATGGTCATTTGCCTGGCATTTTTTAGTTAGTTGTTTGATAGTAAATCTTGTGTTTGATATTATGTGACACACAGAACATTCAAGTTTTCAGCAAGGAAATCCTTTTACATTTCTTTCTGTGTTTGCTTCTGTTTTTTAAGCTTAAATATTGTAATACTCCATCTATAATTTCTTATAATTATTTTATGACTTTTTTATTCTTCTCTAAATTATATTTAAGTTATTAGCTATGAACTATGCAATATTATTACTGGTATTTTTTCAATGAATTACCAACTGTGAAAGATAAACTATTTGAATCATGCTTCATTTTCTTACTAATTTTAACATTGTCTTTAATATTAATTTAGAATACACTCTGGCCTATTTTTTTTGAAGGATATAAAATAAAAATACTAGGCTTTTATATCTGCGTTAGGGGATCTTTTACTGCAAGAGATTAAAATCCACTCAAACTACCTTCAGAAAAAAATGAAAAACAAAATAATGTTCTTGATATAAGTATACAGTAGGTAATCTGATATCCTTCTGGTAGAAAACAAAAAATAACCAGATCTGGGGAAATCTGGTCTAGAAAATAGAAAATCAGGAAATCATTCTCTCTGATTAGCATTCCAATATAGATGAGGACTTCTTTTAAATCCTGCATTTATAAAATGCTAATTGTGGCTTTTTAAATAAATCAGTTGACTGCTCTGACGCCAGTTTCCAGTATGAAGTGGGTACACTAATGTTTGACTCATTTTGAGCAGGTGTGATGTTATGTGCATGTAGTTCCTCCCTTTTGCACTCCCTGTCACATAGTGGGCAATTGTTTATGGTAGAAGTCACTGTTAAATGTACTGATTTATCTTTCATGGCTATGCCGCATCACACTGCTAATTACTGTTGGTTTATCATCTTCACTAGTTCTCCCTCGTTCACCCTTGTATTTCCCTTGGTTACCCTTGTATTGTACAGGCTTCCAGGAGAATTTTAGAATGATGTTCTGAGTCTTCTGACAATTAAAAAGGGGCTCTAATGGTATTTAAATATGAATACGTGATTACCTAGGACCATATTTTATGTAATCATTAAACCACATATTCTTCTTTTATCTTTAAGCAAAGGTTTATATTATTTTTATACAACCTCCTCAAATTTGGGAATAAGGGTATTCCTAGACAGATTGCATTTTCTTACTGTTTTGAATTAGAACTTTTTCCTCCATTGCTTCCAAGTGATTATTGCTGTGGGTAAGAAAAGAAAAGGACAGGCATTATTGATTCTTAAATATATATAAACTTAATTCAGCAGCTCGGCTGAAAATTCACTGACCTAGAGAATTTTTCACTTAGTTTTTCTTTTGAAAATTCTACATATAAAATTTCATCATCTACAAATCATAGATTTGTCTCCTCCTTGCCAATATTCACAGGTTTTATTTCATATTCATGAAGTTTTATATTTATCATATACGTCTAGATAAAATATACAATTAAAATTGTGATAGTGGGTGTTCTTTATTATTATTCTAATGGAAATGCTTTCACCATTCCATCATTAAATATAATATTTCCTGTTGACTTAAGCTAGATTTTTTGATAATATAATGTATATTTATGTTGATATTTTTCACATGGTTTATCTCCCTCTCAGGGGTGAATGATATTTTGGGCCCTTATGTAGAAAAGAGGAAATAGGAAGAATGATTTTTCTTTTTGAACTTCATATATGATTATATTAATAGGTTTTCTTATATAAAGCAATGACTATATTATTTGAATTAAATCTTTTCTTTGTCATAGAGGACAATTCATTTACTCTCCACTTGAAATAATACTACTAATATTTGATTTAGAACTCCCATGTTTATATTTAAAGATAAGATTCTCACTTATTTAGGTTCATTCCTAGCTTGGCCATAGGATTTTTTTAATAGTATTTTTTCAATGAACTATGAGTCATATTTTTTATGAACTCTAGAATAGAGGCATGCCTCAAAGACATTGTAGGTTTGGTTCCAGACTACCACAATAAAGTGAATATCAGAATAAAGTGAATCACATGAATGTCTTGGTTTCCCAGTACATATAAAAGTTTTGTGTTCATTATACCGTAGCCATTAAGTATGCAATAGCAATATATCTGAAAAACAGTGTACATACCTTATTAAAAATATTTTATTGCTAAAAATTTCTAACTGTCATCTGAGCCTTCAGCGACTTCTAATCTTTTTGCTGGTGGTGGGTCTTGTCTCGATGTTGATGGCTGCTGATTGCTCAGGGTGGTGGTTGCTGAAGATTGGGGTGGCTGTGGCAATTTCTTAAAATAAGACAACAATGAAGTTTGCCACATCTGTTGACTCTTCCTTTCACAAACGATTTCTCTGCAGCATGTGATGCTGTGTGAGAACTTCTCTCAAAACTGGAGTCAGTCCTCTCAATCCCTGCCACTGCTTTACCAACTAAATGTATGTCGTATTCAAAATCCTTTTCATTTCAACAATCTTCACAGCATTCTTCACCAGGAGTAGAGTCCATCTCAAAAAACCACTTTCTTTCTCATCCATAAGAAGCAGCTCTTCATTCATTAAAGTTTTATCATAAAATTGGAGCAATTCAGTCACATCTTCAGCCTCCATTTTTAGTTCTAGTTCTCTTGCTATTTCTACCACATCTGCAGTTACTTTCTCCACTGAAGTCTTGAACCCCTCAAAGTCATCCACGAGGATTGGAATCAACTTCTTCCAAACGCCTGTTCATGATGATATTTTGACAATTCCCATGGATCATGAACATTCTTAATGGCACCTAGAATGACGAATCCTCTCCAGAACCTTGTAGATACATTTATTCCTATCCAAAACGGCCAGAAGACATTTGGTCCATGCCAAAAGGTCCTTGACATTTGGTCCTGTCTAAAATGTCCGTGAGCTTATTTGGTTGATGCCAAATGGTTTTGGACAGGACCAAATATCAAGGACCTTTGGGCATGGACCAAATGTTTTCTGGTCATTTTGGATAGGACCAAATGTCTACTAATCTTCCAGAAGTTTTTCAATTTAGTTTGCCCCGATCCATTAACGGAATCTCTATCTATGGCAGCTATAGCCTTGTGAAACTTATTTCTTAAATAATAAGACTGTAATGTCAAAATTATTCCTTGATCCATGGACTGCAGAATGGATGTTGTGTTAGCAGAAATGAAAACAACATTAATCTTGTTGTACATCTTCATCAGAGCTCTTGGTTTACCAGGTTCATTATCACCGAGCAGTAATATTTTGAAAGAAATCTTTTCCTGAGCAGTAGGTGTCAACAGTGGGGTTAAAATATTTGGTAAACCCTGTTGTAAATAAATGTGCTATCATTCAAGCTTTATTGTTCCATTTATAGAGCACAGGCAGAGTACATTGGCATAATTCTTAAGGGCCCTAGAATTTTCAGAAAGGTAAGTGGGCATTGACTTCAACTTAAAGTCACCAGCTGCAACAGCCAGTAACAAGAGA